CTGTCTGCAATAGTATACCGCTTTTATCACAGTTAGCATGTACTACAAAACCCTTGTTATCATTAGTTGTTGCATTCTTATCTTCCTCCCGATTTATACCTGGGGGATCTGCTGGTGTATATTCGCATATGGATATATGGTGCTTGCCAGTCTTACACTTCCTACATAAGTAATGGGACTTACAATTTTTGGCAATATGTCCAGTATCTAAGCATATAAAACACCGCTTGTTTCTACGGAGAATGGCCTTTCGGGATTGGCAATTCGAAACACTACTGCATTTGGATGATGAATGACCCTCCTTGCCACAATAAACGCATGCAACCTTATTGGTCTGACCAAACAACCCACTAGTAGTATAATATGCCCCCTTCCTTTGCGATTCTTTCTGGATAGATCTATTCGAAGTGGATGCACTACAATTCTCTTGTGCTCGAAGCTCACTATTAAAATATTCCATGACTTTATCAAGTGTCCAGATCTCCTCGCCAAATTTTCTGGAAATAATCATGGTAATTTCGTCAGGCAATCTATCTTTTAAGATTGGAATTAGCAATGAGCCGTAACCAGATGTGTCAAGTTTAAGGGATTTCAAATTTCTTACACAACTCTCTACATGATTATAAAGCATCCTTAGCTCTTTAATATTATCCCTAGATGCTATCTTACTGATCCTCAATAGTGACTCCATGTGAGCAGATATTAAGATTTGTTCATTTCCAAATCTGCCTTTCAAAATTTCTATTGCTTCCTGATAGTTTTCTGAGTTCAAAGTTAAACCTGATACAGCAGATAAACTTTCCCCTTTCAAACATCCCTTTAGGTAATTAAATTTGTCTATGTCACTTATACGTGTGTTACTATGAATTGCTACTTGGAATTGGTCCCAAAACCCTTGCCATGCCAGTGGGTCTCCTGAAAACTCTGGTAATTGCATTTTAGGTAATCTACAATGCACTGCGCTGCCCTGCGCCTGAACGTTATTACCATATGAAGCGCCTAAGGTATTTATTGGCTTCGTACTTTGATTAAACGCAGCTAGCCTTAAGTCTACTTTCGCCAAAACATGATAGCTGGGTTCTAACTCTTTCATATGTTCGACAACTGCAGCCTCTATTTCTTTTGGATCAAGCATGTTAATAATTTCATTATGAACAACAGCCAATTGTTCAAGAATACTCGAAACAGTATTTCTCAACCCCAAAAGTTTCGCTTGCTCACAGTCTTCAGAAGAAACATATTGGTCTAGTTCTTGTAAAAGAATTTTTAAATAAGCTGAAAGACCGGCGAGTCTACCTTTAGCTTTGCCTAAATCAGTCGCCATCTTATTAACCTACTATATACCGAGCACGAGGTCACTAGACAAGACGACAATTAAACAACAAATATACACTAAAAACACAAACAATTACAACGCAAAATATACGCAAGTGTGAAAGAAAGCCTAAGGTTAATTTCAACCGAATAAATAAAGAAGTTACCTCTACCAAGACAACAGATCTGCAACCTTTCACCGAGAAGAACGAGGTTGCGAGAATGACACTTGAAGGGCACTATTAACAACAATGTTCGCTGCCGCCGTCTGAATATTTCACCGCCGTTATAGGCTTATAGTTCTTTAACCGATTAGATTGTTCAAGTGTCCCCTATCGGGCTCCATTTAAAAAGCAAGACCTTCTCTTGATTTTTATAAAGTTTTATTTAAAATTATGTGCGACATAAATTTGCACACCCGTGCGTCTCTCTCTGACATACAACACTGAGTTATTGTTCAACGTTCATTGTCCTGTCATGTGATCACTCACATGATTTGCGATGACCAATCAAAATGCAATACTGCTAATTTGCTACAAGCATGAGTACCAGAGGCGGCCTAGAAATATTGAAGATTCCACACGGAGTCTAATCTACTCCAAAAGTGCCGATTATTCTGTAATCGTTTTAGACCGTTTTTGGTTACATATATAATAAAACTTTTTGAGTTTATTCAACTCCTTGAAATTTAGAGTGCAATATTTGAAATATCGTGTCTGTTCTTCCCAGCCGGACAAATATTATATTAAATTAAGTGGAATGAGTTGATAACCATTATATCATTGATTGTTTTTCCTTAATTGTATATTGTTTGAAATATTGCAAAATATGTAAGACCAAGGCCCCAGTTATGTGTGAGAGGTACTTCGAATTCCGGCCCCTCTAGCTTTGGTCATGTTACGACCGTTGACCAAGTGCTTAGACACTAGAGGGAGCTACGGCAACAAAGCACTAGTCTGTAGTCTTGCTTGACAATTTCACAGTCATAATGCTATCTCATTTTGCCTCTGTTTCATTTTTGTTTTCGTAATTGCCTTTCCAAACGCAAGAAAAGTAATTTGATAAAGAAATTGGCACCCCTCTACACCGCTCAATCAATTTATGCTTGCACTGGAGCGATACGTAAGCTACTGTATGGTCTTACTGCACTGCAGGGGAAAACAATTTGGAACTGACAGATTTTTCGGGGAGATAAATAGAATAAGTTTAGTTATAGTTTCCTCCTGCAATACTCTGAGCCTTGCTCGGTGATTATCGGGGATTATTATATCAGATATCAATAGTCAAAGTCGCATTTTTCTAGTGTTTTATTGGTTGAGAGCATATCACGTGAGAGTGACGAAATTAGGCTGTCTGACTCTCCCTCGCAACAGCGCGAGAGGGAGATAATACGTTATCGACCGGCGAATAACAAAAAAAATCACGTGCGCCATCACGTGAAGATGCGACCTTTGGACATGCCTATAGTACGTAATCAAAACGTTCGCTTTAAGTAACTGCAGTGTAGCCAGTGTTTAATATAACGTTTTAATAATCAAATATTTCATGTATTTACGTTCATTTGTTCTTTAATTTGTTGTTTCTTTGACTATTGATATATAATAAAACACTTATTTACTGAGACCTCGGGGTCTCGGGTCCACAAAACACACTGTTTCCCTCGGTCTCAGTAAATAAGTGATAAATATTCACCTCGACTTGGTCTCGGCGAATATTCCCCGATAATTATTAAGGGGATCGCAAATCTAACCCCAATAGCAATGCCTTCGGAGGAAGCTACACAGTATAGAATAATTTCCTTTACAGATTTCTATTCCCATGTTCTGTTGCACGTTGAGATACTTTATTTTCTTTAAATTAAAACTTCTATAAATCTGCTAGTAGTCGAGCAACTGTAGCCTCCTCTGCAGGAATCACTATACGATTGTAGCCAATGCCATGCAGCGAAGGAGGCCGTATAGAGTCAGTCATATAAATTCTTTTCCACTATATTAAAAACGCAATGCAATCAACTTGACATCATATCAATCAACGTCTATATATATATAACGAGATATTAGTAAAGTTTCTCATCTTTTTATCTTGAAACGAAATTGTTCAAGGATCATACAGTGATTGTAATACTGTACGAGAAATAAATACAATTAAGGAATAAAAATTCTATAAAAGAAATTAGTCTACATTTTCCCTTTAATTTAATAAGACAATAAACTGCTTGTGTCATATGTACTTTAAGAACCATAAAAGTTGCGGAAAACGTCAGTGGTGTTAATTTTCTCAAGAGGCAAATAAAGATAAAGAGCTACATTGTCTCTAGTTCCAATTAAAATGATTTTATGAAATACAAGCGATCAAATATATGTAAAACATTTACTAAATGTCTCACTCTTGTTTGACGTCAAGTTGGTTGCTTTGTTTTTTTTCAAGAAAGTGAAATATAACCATACTGATGCACTTTAAGAATCCAAAACTCGGGAAAATTAATAAACGTTAGTGGTGTCAATTTTCTCAAGGGGAAAATAAAAAGCTACCCATGAAGTAATCAAAATATAGAAAGCATGCAAACCGATACAAAGAGCTACTGATTAAATAATCACAACCGCCCTAGTCGACCTGGTCTGACTTTGATTTTACCAACCAACCGATTTAATCAGTCAACTGCTGGAAATAGAGAATTAAGGTAACACAGTCTGTTCTTGTATATATACGCGGCGGTTCCGTTAATATGCATGTAATGTATATACTCACATTTTTGTAATTCGTGATTCTATATGCAAATAATATTTAAAGGTTCTTACACTTACACTTACAAAACAAATATACTTCGTACTTGCGTTGATTTTGAGAGCATTTCAATTTCATAAAGAAAACCGCCAGAGACAGGATGAACAAGCTGAAACTGGTCGTAACCTGAGCTCATGCGATGTGTGATTGTGTGGAACTTTCTAAAGAGAAGGTGTCCTCTTCGTGCTTATCTAAATTCTCACGCTTGAGGAACACGTGTTCTACTTACACAAAGGAGAATTCAAGGATGCACTAAGCCTGCGATACGGTTGGAAATTGAACAACATTCATCAGACCTGTAACACTGTAGGTTTTCCAACGATCCATCTCAACGAAATTTGTGACATCACAATTTCACTCCCACTCCGTCGCTAACGCTCAGGCCATTCCAAATATAAGCCCCACGGCCAGAATATAAGCCCCTCTGTGTATACAATTCCCATCAGCTTATATATTTGACCGGTATTTATTAAGGTAGGGACGGGGATTTCAACAGCTCAGACGAGTGACGACAATTACATTACAGTATTCAAAACCTGACTCGTTCCCAGTCGCTCGCGTTGGATGATGGGATCAACGCCTAACCCGCGAATGGGCATATTCTCCCGTACTAAAATATAACGAGGAACTGCAGTGGAAGAGTCAGATTCAAAACGTGTTAACCAACTTGTTTTGGTATGTGTTAAATATTCGTACTAAATTTCGTGCGTACTTATAATTTCGCGATTTTTTCGAGAGAATATTTCGCACGACTTTCATAGGCGAAAATATAGAAAATGGGCATTAAATTTCCCGGAGCTTTTGGAACAACATTTTATTCTCTATAAAAATCTGAACTACAGCTTTCAAAACAAATCATATGTACTGTCTGCAGTATACGGTAGTCAGTTTTGTTTTCATTCATCGTTTTTGCCGCCAGTAATGAACCATCTTAATTAAGATTTCTTAATTGTTGGTAAAACAACCAGAAATACAACACATAAAACCACCATTTCCTTTATCCGCACTGGTCGATGAAAATTGACTGTTGCCGTCACTTTCAGGGCCGTCAGGGTCTTCATTGGCTTGAACAGCCTCCAATGGACGGCAAAGAACAGCAGCCGCCCACTTGAATTCGATAGTAGCCATGTTGGATTGCAACCTTGTTCCTAGGCTCTTACCTCTTGTAGAGGAAAGACCCTGGTAGGATCTGGTCACGTGATCCGCTATATCTAGCAGATTTTTAATTGATGATGATAATGTTGATAAATATTTTATATTTATACTTTATTTTATAACTTGCATTTGTTACTTGATTTTAAAGGATCCAAGATAGTTATTTAGAAATCTGCTAGATTTTAGCAGATCACGTGACCAACTCCTACCAGGGTGTTTTCTCCACAAGAGGTAAGAGCCTGGGAACGAGGTTAGCGGATTGTTTTAAATTTTACCGCCGTGACTACTAATATTCATATAGTTCTATATATTCCCATGCTTCATAGTTGACAAGATATTTCACTTTCTTGAAAAAACAATGCAACCAACTTGACGTCAAACATATATAATGAGATATGTCGCCATCAGTAAAATTATATACTTTTAATGTTTTATTTCTTCCCTTGTGTTTCACAAAATTACTTTGGAACAAGCGGCACGTATATATTTCTCCTACAGTATTACAATCATTGTCATGATCCTTAAACAATTTAAATCCGTTTCATGGTGCAAAGATGCGAGAAACTTCACTAATATCTCGTTATAATTACATATATGACGTCAATGAGACAATGACCCTTAGAAGTGCTTATGTCACGCAATTTTTAATCCACCAATTTTTATGATCCATGCTCCGACTATCCAAATCATTTGCTAAACTTATGTATATGCCGAATTTAATTTGATCAGGTTCGGCGTAACAAAAGTTCGCCGTCTCAACCAGGCCTGACAGTTTAAAAAAAAAGAAATATCTCAACGAAGAAGTTACTCTATACTATCTATAAGAAGTTACTCGCGAAGGTTTAGACTCATAAACTTGAAATTTGGCTTTGGATACCTAAGGCATATGTATATAGAAGACTCACGATAGAAAACATACTTGCTGCAAAGGCAATTTTCTGAGTTTAAGGGTCTAATATAGGTGAAAACCCATCATCAGAATTTAAGGTTTAAGGTTTTGGAAGGACAACCATAATTGAATCAGCAGTGTATATGGCTTGCGCTAAATGTATGTCAAGTGATAAATTTTGTTTTTTCCGTTCCCCCGTCCTTCAGACCTGATTGTCAGTTCCTTGTTCCACTAACACGCCCATGCACTTAAAAGGTATTTCAATAAGTGTTGTTGACTGGTTGTTGCCAAAAAATGCATTTTAAATTAACATTAATTTACCATTAAGTATATATATACTATAATTGATACTTCTGTGTATATGTGTTCATTTTTATTGACAATTAATGAGTTTGGTTTCATATCGCCATCCTGTATACACTACCATGACACTGATAAAACGCTCGTTGTTCGTTATTTTCATACTCGCCGAAGATGGTAAGCAGATATAAACTACGAACATACGTCTTAGTCATTCTTAAATCATATACTGGTTTCATCAAGTTTTAAGATTGCTTGAACTTGTGTTTATACTGTAATGAATGTGGTATATAGTGAGGGACGAATATGTACTATATTCCAACCCTGCAATTAGTGGGATCAATTGCGACAAGCATGATTATACTACATAGTTTTAACTATTGCATAAAAAGATACAGTAACTCTCAATAGAATAACTTTTCCTCCTTAAAATTGACGTCCAGCAGCTCGGGCTTATCTGTGCTCCGTCATCCGACACCAGTCGCAAGGTGGCTGCTAGGGGCGTCACCAAGTACTAAGCATAATAAATAACAACAGTAACTTGTATAGTACTGGCATTTCAGCTATGCCAATACATCTATTACTAAAACTTTGGGAGTTAAGCGTTGGCCGCGGCGTAAGGGTTAAGAATAATACATTACATATTAAATTGCCGATTCCAGACCTTTGTTCTCATGTGACTAAAACTTATTTTCATAGAATTAGTATTAAGCCTATTAAGTTCAAGCAGCTTCAGTAATTTTCACTTCAAAAAGATACATATTTTTTCATGTAAGGTTTTCCAAATTTTAGTCTAATACTTGCGACCGGATGTCATAGACATACAGTATAGTTGTCTACTGTGATTCTGTATCTTTAACTTTATAATTTAAAAATTCAGAACAATTGCTTCAAACAAGAGAGCAATAATCAAAATGAGGTAGGATTAGCGTAATCAGGATAATTTCTAACGTATCTTTAATTTAAGAACAAAAGATCTACGCAAATTCGTATCATTGCCAATTCTTTTACAAATGATGATTCAAGACAATTCCATCAAGAGGATGTCTTCTTTCTTCTCCTCTGCCGCGTCGCCCATGAGCAGAATAACCGTTGTTTGTTTGATCTCACGACAGCTACTCTGAATTTGAAAGGAAAAATACGTCTCGTAGTTCCGAGCAAAAGTCCTTCTTCATGAGACTATAAGTGCTCTTGACGAAGAACCTTCAGATTGAGCAGTTTTATATTTTGTGGATACTTTATCAAGTTCCACTTCCATATCGTATATATATATCATATGAAAGTAAAACGTCTGGACAAATGTATTGAAACTTCGCCTATTCCCTGTTCACAGACTTCAACAAAAAATATACGCAATTATACGCAACGTTACGATACAACATTAACATGCACCAGGCAATAAGCATATACGGTAGGCATGGTCCACTCCATTCTCGTGCCCAGAATACTGATGCAAATTCAGTGGAGTAAAATAGCCTAAATCATTCAATCATTGGCTTAATATTAGTTTTCTTATTATTTATTGATTGTCTGAAATGCGGATTACACATGTGAAATATTGTTCGTTTTCGCTGGTTTACTAGTTCTTGAGCCTAATTACAATTATATAAAGAAGCTTTCAATTTTGTACTGAATATACTATACAAGATGAAGGCTTATGTAGTTTACACGCCATTCCGTCATGCGACATACGAAAACATCTTGATTCACGAAGGGTTCACTTGGTGACACGTGACAGATCTTTCATTAGAAACTCGTAAGAAAGAAATCAAAGAAAATATATAGGCTTTTCCAACACCTATATATTGCATAACATTAAACATGCATATAGTTAGAGGCGGCGTTTAATCTAGTATGTACGACATATTTCTATTTACCTATTTTTGACAATTATACGTAAAAACCAATTCTATAGTTTCCGCGACCAGCTACATTGCCTACGTCCCCCACATGCATGCGTTTCAATAATTCCGAGTTCAGATCTACAATATATACATGTATGTCCGGAAAAGTAAAAAAGGCCCGGGAAAGTCCAAATAAAAACATAATACAAATAATAACACAAACATGCATAATACTCAGAAATTCCAGGAAAGTAGAAAGAACAACCTTCGTTGAAAAAAATCGACCCACGCTGCAACTCTACAATCTATACATGCATGCATGCATGTGATCGTGAGACAATTTAAGCTCGGTTAATCGAGGTTGAAATTCATCCCTGGCTCAAAACTCTTCATGTATGTAATCAGCCCCTGACCCTGACACTGTTTCTTTCCATTCACAGTTGTTTCAATTCAGATGTGTGCTGACAAATGGAAAGGCTGGGGCAATTCATGCTATTTATTTGTTACATCAGCTGGTGCAAACTATGATCCACCGCCATCGAACTGGAATATGTCTCGAGCATATTGCTTAAACAAAGGGGCAGATCTGGTTTCTCTTACGACTAACGGTGAATTTGAATTCGTATACAGTAATACAAATAATTTGGCATACTGGATTGGGTTGAGATACAAGAAGACAAAGCTACGTAAAGATGCACACTGGGCTTGGAGCAATGGAGATAAGCTTAATTTTACGGAATGGAACAAGGGGGAACCAAATAATCTTGAAACAGAACACTGTGTTGAAATTTTAAAGGGCTTGAAATTCTGGAATAACAAAGGATGTGACAAAAACCAAGCTTTGGCATGGATATGTGAAAAACCAAGAGATGCTAAAACATCTCTGAAAACTGTTAAGAAAATTCCATCCACAGGTATATATAACTAACAAATATCGAATTGTTGGCCAAGTTGCTTCGTGGCATATTACTAACACATACTGCGGCTAATTGAGATTTAGAATAAAATCTTAAAGTAAATGATGATTTCAGTATCGTTATGTGTCTTATGTTAATTATCTGAAAGTATGACGCCATATATAGCTTGATATATCTCTACATAGCGCGACTCTATGATATCGGCGGGCACGTCCTGAGTACGAAGTTGATTGCAGAGATGTTGTCTAGTCTGGTAGGAAAGACGTGGGGCAAAAAGGGAAGTTCCATCTCCCAGCTATAAACAGCCCTAAGACCTCGAAAAATATCCCTTAAAATTTCACGAATTTTTCTAATAAATCCGTTAGAATCCATATAAAATCCCTAAAATTGAAAAACAAATTCTAAAAATCTCAGAAAATCTCTAAAATTTTCAAACCACAAATCCTGAAAAAATCTCGAAAAAATCCCCGAAAATCCCAAAGGATTTTCGAAATCCCAAAAATCTCGTACACTTGAAGTGATACAGCCTTCGGCCTTGTGCGCGTGTATATGTACAGTCAGAGTACGTTACATTTGCAAATCAACATGAGAGTTGTGAGCTGTTATAAAGAGATATATTGGTGGTATTTTTCAGCACCCTCGAAGCCCACGACAACGACGAAGAGAAAAAACTCCAAACCTTCAATTATTACTTCGACAAAAGGTAATCTCGAATAGCCATTTTGAAGTCACAATCTTAGATTGAGGCTTCTTGATCAACAACAACTGTAATATTATTGTTTGAGGTCTTCAATATAGAAAAATACGATATCTTCAATATGATTTTAGAAGTTGACAAAATTTCCATTCATGTTTATAGTCGTTCCTATGACTACAACAAAAACGAAGCCAACAAAGGGTATGAGTTACTCGAATTGCGGACTCGTGTAGTTTTGATACTTTGATAGGATTTGAACTAAAACTCATGAACACGAGCATTTTTTTCCAATTCCACTCATTTTTGGACCAGGAACTGATCCCCCAACCTCGTACCCAGGACTAGTCGCGAATTGAAGGCGGCGACATAGCCCTGGTAAACGCTGGTCACGTGTCAGGCAAATACTCCAAGATTCTTGGAGTATTAGCCTGCGAGCGGCACTCTCCTCCGCAGAGGCTTTGTAGATCTTTGTAGTTTGTTTTCTTTCTATATTGTAGTTTGTTTTCGTTCTATATATAACTGAAGTTTGACTATAGAGTTTGCGGGCAGTAGCGGGCTAGGTAGAGAAGTGGGCACGCGGGCGGAGCG